GTAGTGTCAGCATTAAACATTAGTACTGCTGTGTAGTATTCTAATGCTTCTGTTTTATATAATAAAATACAATAAAAGCTGTACTGTCAATTTTGTTCTTTAAAATCTTGAGTGAGCCCCGGGATTAAAGTATGTGGACTCTGGTGCTTGCCAGCTCATTCTATGCTTTTATGGGTCAACCTTGTTCATTTCAGGCTGTAGTGAGGCCTGCAGGGACAATTTCCAAAGTAAATGATTTTGTCTTAGGGGAATTTTTGAGGCTAAGAAGAAAGCTTTGAAACTGTTTTAGGCTAATCGGCTTATACTTCTAGATGATCACCCATCACCTTACAAACACCTCAACACCACTCATCTTCCATTTGAAAAGGTGAAGCAAAAGCCCTCTATAGCTCTTCTAATCTGATCGCAGAGCACACCAGCTAAGTGTTAGCTCCATTCTTTATAACAGATGAACAAACAAGGTCAGGGAAGTGAGTGGACTAAAGTCATACAAAGCCAGGATGAGAACCCAGTTCTTCTGTCTCCTGGCTACTGCTCTTTTTCCTGGGACTGCTTACTACATTCCAAAATTTTAGGGTAAGAAAGAACCCTGGTATCATTTAGCCCAACCTCTTCTCTTAAAGACCCTCACTTGGATGCAAGCCCCTCACTTTGTTTGATCTGAACAAAGTCAAACATCTAGTAACTAAGAGGACATTTCAGCTGTCCCGGTGGCCAGAATAGAATATTGTCTCGGCAAAATAAAGATAAAAAGAAAACAAGTTACAAAAGCTACTAAATCACCTATCATTGGGACGTATTATTGTTCTGAAGTTCATGTATGGCAAGAGTTAAATGAGAACTTGCAGGCTCACAGAATGCAATCTACAGGAGAACCAGATCAGAGGCTGCACGTTGGCAGTTGGAATTTGGCCTGGAGACATGGTTGGTTTGGCCTGCAAGTGCTGGCTGTCCATGTGGATTCAGCCAATGTTAGAAAAAAAAAAGGTATTTAACATTGAAAAAAATCTAGATTTTTTGGCTTTTCTTGAAAAAAATCTAAAGGTCTGGCATGGCTGCACCCAACCCCACCCCCACCAATCAGCCAGAGCTGACTGAGTGTTGCCCTTTGGAGGTGGTACCTGTCCCCCAGCTCCCTACCATCTCCCCGACCCTGAGGCCATGTGTCAGATGCCTCTCTCCCTTGCATTACCTAGTCCCTGCTGGTATTTAGAGTTTGTCTCCACTGGACTAGATAAGGTCACACCAAGGGACTTTTAAACTTTCAACTGTGTTGGCTGACCTGACTTGGTTTTATTTATATTTGGTTTCTTTAGGAACAAGGACAACATTGTCACAATCCAACAAAAGGGAAGAGTTGTCTGGCTGGCTGAGGCTTTCAAAGTCAATAATTATTTGGAGATATGCTATTAGAAACTTAAAAGATACAGTGGAAAGAAAATGTATCATACTCTAAGTAGGCTGGAGTGGATTAGCATTTCCCACACTTATGGAGAGAAATACTTGGCTGATATCAAAATACACTGTTGAGTGGTAAAACAGACTGTGTGGTTGACACATTTGTGTCACTTCTCCCCCAACACCCACACCCTGGGGGATGGAGTTTGCGATCTGGGAACAGGATGTCAAATTTCTCAGGTGTAGAATAAACCATAGAATGGACTGAAAATACCCCAAGTGGAAGAGTATACTCTAATAAACATATATTTTTTTTTCTAAAAATAAGGAGACGAGCTAATAATGCATGTGGTACCCTGTATCAAAGGGGCTGGCAACACTCTAGCCTTTAATTAAGTGGCTCCACACACCTCTGTACAGTAGCTATTTGGCAATACATCCATTTTTGGCCAACTGAAGCATGAACAGTCCACAGCTGTGATGAAATCTCCCAAAATATTAGGTTTGTAGGCTTCCCTCTGACCCTGATCTTTCTACTTCACATGCCCTACAAAATCCCTGCCAATGAATTTCAGAGTGAGTATGTATGTTGCCATGTTGGGGCAGTCCCATCAGAGGCCCATCTGGTGAACTCATCCAACCAGATGGTTTTGTTACTGGTGTCAACTTTGAGCTATGATTTGGAATCTTGGAGTATACACTCAGATTCAAAATCCCTACAAAAACTTTTGTGCTATTCCTACATACAAAAGATTCGTGCCTTAGGGATACAGATGCATGGACTGGCCCACTTACTAGCTATGTGACTTGACAAGTCATTTCACATTTAACCACTCTATAGGCATGAGTTTTCTCATCTGAAGAAAAGGCAAACGAATAAAAGCTGACCCGTGCAAAGTAGCTGGCACACAGAGAGCATTAATAACATCCCACATGGCCTCCCTTCTTCTCATGGAATACTAGAAGCTACAGGTCCTAACGAGCCAGACAGTTTCATCCCTAAATTTATAGATGAGGAAATCAAGGCCTTCAAAGGGGTCTCTCAGGCAAACAGTGGCAGTACCAGGCAGCTCTTGAGACCTGAGCTCTAGTACTTTACTCAATATTGGTTTTCTCCTATAAGCCAGCCCATGAGAGATTCTGAGAGCAGGTGGGGACAGTGACAAGGCAGTCCCTATGATTGCTACGAGCCTCAAGCTGCAGGCCAACAGGCTAGGTAAACAGACCTACCCTGTTTTAAATTTGAAACAGGCTTTACCACTCCCTATGGTTTCTCATCTTTTCCAAGTAACATATCTTGGTTGGCTGCTGGGCCTATGTATATGTCCCAGTTTGGTTTATCCACACTAACTGGCTGAGCTGTCCCATCAATAGCTTGCATTACTTGTCAACCAAAGGTGAGCATACACACTCCAGCTTTGCAAATCTCAAACACAAACACACACAAAAGTGATCTGAAGATCATATTCTAAGCTTGGTTCCTGGTCTGTAGGTTGACCCTTTTAAATTTTAAAGGGTTGACCCTTTTAAATTTTAGTTTGCAAAGTGATGTCTCTGCTCAACAGCATTCTTATAGAAGAGAGACCTGGAAATCACTAACATGTGTACAAAGGCTGAGTACCCCTGCTTCCCAAGAGAACTCTTCGAGAATGACTTCACTAGCCTGTTATACATTAGGAGAGAACATACGCTTCCATAGGAACCAGAGTTCTAGATTCTGAAAGTGAAACTTCACACTCCATATAGCAGGTTATAACTGTTTCCTTCCCTTTCTCTTGGGAACATGATTCTCTTCTGAGATTGCCTTTTGAAAATAAATTATGGAATACTGACTGATATCAAATTCTCATCTGTGAACTGTAATTCACCTAAAGCCATTTCTTCTATTAGTCACTTAAGGTTTAGGAGAAAGTGAACAGGTGAGAAGATGGCTAGGAAATCCTGTGGGGCATCCCCCACCCCCACAATATATCTCAAATGTCAAATATCCACTCTATGTCAACTATTACCAAACCTTCTCTGACAACTAGGCTGCCACCTTCTTCATGATCCTAAGAAAACTATGGAAATATTTTATCTAAGTCTTATGAGAAACAACTGGGCTGGGTGAATTAGTAAACATTTTATGAGGAGGGGATGAAAGTAAAGTAATTTATTAAGGTTGCCTGAAACCCCACAGTCCAAACACTGATTCAATCCCTTATTTGAAATAATGCTATTTTAAACTCTGTGGCAGGGCAGCAGACCAAATTAAATCACTCATTTTACTGACCTGAGTCCCAAGCCTGAATTCTCAGTTGGATTATTTTTAATTTAAAACTGAGCTCTTGTCCTATAAAATAAGCAGCACCAAGGAGAAATGCAAGACAGCCTACATGGCGCAGGAAGCAGAGCAGTTACTTTTACAAAATACGCTCAAAATTATTAATGACACTATTTCACTTTTAATTTCAAAAAATGAACTTTACAGTACAGCTGTAGGTTATAATGGGGTAATATAGAGAGGCACGTCTGTGAAATTGCTCCTGAAGATTTCTAAGTGATAGATGTGGTGCACAAATGTTATAATATGACCACAGAAGGCATTACTATGTAGCCATTTAAAATACAATGAGGTCAACTAGGCTTCAGACATTGAAAAATGTGTGATAATATGAACTTAAAGACAGCAAGTTGCAGAAGCCATTTTTGGAGAAAAACTTGTATCTGTAAAAAAAACCTTCCTGACACACTGACATCTATGATTCTACATTTAGCTGCGAGAGTGTATGTATATATTTAAAAAGTCTATAAAGATACATACTGAGCTTAACAATGGTGGGAAAGAAAGGGAGAGGTCATGGTCTTTCATTTAACTTTTCTCATCTTAGTGGTTTGCATTATTCGCAAGGGCGTTGATAACTTTTTAAACTAAATTAACAAAGTGATGGGCTTTGAAGAACTATAACAACAGCTCTTGCGTGCCCTTGTTCATTTCTTGAGTGACTTTGTTTTCACCCCACTGATTACAAAGATTCAGCCACAACTCCTCAGTCCTTCCCAGTCCTTGGAAGGCCAGGAGAGGGAAAGGCGTGGTTGTGGGGTTTTCTTGTAGCTGAAGGAAAACAGGCTGTGGGCGCCTTTTTTTTAGCTTCACTCCCTAGAGCTCCCACGTGTCAGGGGTGAGCAGACAGCAGGCGCAGGGTGCAGGAGGAATCCAGTACCAATCTTGCCAAGCCGAGTCTGGTCAAGGATGCGTTCAGCTCGCGGATTTCCTCCCTCCTCAATGCCCCCAGTCAGCTTCCCCGTCCAAGTTTTACTTGCGCGGGCAGACCTATTGAGCACACGTCTGTAAAGGACGCAGGCACCAGGCCAGGAGAGCTACGGTGTGTTCCAACCACCAGCGAGTGCCAATTAATCTGAGGCCAGGACTTGGGCAAATGTCAACCCTGAGCTACTCCCAAAGTGGACAGGTGGGCATGGGGGAGGGTGGACAAAGTATAATTTTTTTTTTTTTTTAACGAGATTAGATGCCACCCGCCTTTCAGGGCCTTCGAGTGGGCTGGAGGACACCGGAGTCCGGAAGGGGCCGGGAGGAGATGGGAGGGCCGTGCTGGGCTTACCTTGCAGGGAAACAGGACGGCCGAGGCCACCTTCTCCATAGCCAGGTTCCTGATGCTGGGCGTCAGGGCGCCCCTGCACGTCGGGCAGCAGCTCAACTTCTGGCGGCATTGGTTACATACCAGGTGCCCCGCCTGGCACTGCAGGATGGGAGGCAGGACATAGTCAAAGCAGACCGGGCACTCGAAGAGCGAGGTCAGCTCGTGGTGCTGCGGGGACACCGGGCCGGCCCCGCCACCGCCGCCAGGGCCCGAGATCACCGCCGCCGCGGCGGGCACCGCGGACGAGCCGGGGCCCGCAGCCGAGATGGTGGCGGCGGCCGGGGGCGCAGCCGGGGACGGAGCGTGCTGGGGCTGCGGCGGCGGCTGCTTGCTGCAGGGTTTGTTAGCGCTGGGGCCGGTGGAGGACGGGCGGCTCATCGCGCTCCGAACCAACCATGGAACTGCGGGCGCCTGCCTGCCCCGGGGCCGCCCGGGTCAAGGCGGTGCGCGCCCCGCGGGCAGCGGGCTCCGGGGCAACGCCACGGCGCCCAGCCCGGAGCCGGGCGGCGGAGACGATCGGCACCGGGCAGACAGGGGGCTGGGCCCGCTGACGCTCTCCGCAGTCCCCGGCGTTCCGAACTCGCCTCTGCGTGGGACCGCGCGCCGTGCCCTCCTCTCGGCGGCGTCCCGGCCCCGAACCCGAGCGGTGCGCAGAGCCCCGACCCACCGGCTTCGGGAGCAGCAGCTGACGCAAGCCCCGGGGGCGCGCGCGGACGTGACGCCTGGACACGTGTGCGGCCGCCCAGGCGCGCGGGGACCGGCAGAGCCACCCAGCACCCGGGCGCGGGCTCCGCCCGGCTCCAGCTGACTGAGCAGGGGCCGCCTAGCGCGGGCGTTTCCTGCTCGGGCTACGGGCCCGGCCTGCGCTAGTGAGCATGCCCGGCTCGCAGCCACCGTGCGGGGTCGCCTTTTCCGGGTTGGGGAAGGGGCCGCCCTCGGGAAGGCGTCGCCGAAGACCCAGGACCACACCCCGGGGATCTTGGCCGTCGCGTCCCTGGGCTCAAACCAGAAGGGCAACTTCAGGCGGGGTGGGGGCGGGGGCGGGGGCCGGGACGGAACGCCAGCCGGCAGGGGAGGGGCGGGGGCCCAGGACTGGTCGGAAAAAAGTGAGAGGTTGCTCTTCCCCGGGTTGAGTCACCAGGGCACAGGGGAGGCGTCCGACGCGGCGAGCTAGGCTCTTAGTCTGGAACACCGGGTCGAGACGAAGAGCTTTGGGCGGCAGCAGGGCAAGGGGCTGGAGTTGGGTCTGCAGCCGGCACAGAACCTACTGCTGTACTGTTGAGGGTGGGGTTGGACCCTAAGGGGTGAGGAGGAGGTAAACTCCCTTTATTTCTTTACCTGCCGACCTGGCGAAAGCTTCAAATGAGCGCCTTTGACTGGTATGGCAGGCCGGGGAGGGAGCTCATTCATGCACAGCTGTAAAAGGAGAGTTTGAGATCATCGCAGAGTGCCAGAGACGTGAGGCCTAGGAAGACAGTGGGTGACCCTCCGGTATAACGCGCTGCGTCCTCCTTGCACAGTCTTTGTTGCGAGGCGTAAGCACTCGCCCTGCGCGCCCAGGGGAAGCGCTAGAGAGAGCATGAGGGCCCACAGCGAACCACATGCTAATTTAATGTATACCGTGTGTTCCAAATTGAATTGCTTTTCTGCAAACTTTGAGCCAAAGACATTGGAATTTGGGAAGGGGCTACCGAAATCGGATATTTTGTGTAGGAGAGACAGAGGTAAGGAACAACTCTTAGGAATGAGTGAAAAACGGTACCCTCTATCTGCTTTGCCATATGTGTGACTTTGGGCAAGTTCTTTAATTTCTCTGGGCCTCAATTTCCTCATCTGCAAAAGTGGAATAAAAAAAATACCTATCTTGTAGGTAGGATAGTGAGGATTAAATGAATGTAGTATATACCAAGCTCTTAGAACAGAACCTTGCTCATCATATGCACTGTTTAAATGTTGGCTGTGTTTTTAAAAAATATCATTAGCGAATGTTTAATTTATATATATATATATATATATATATATTTATTTATTTATTTTAAGACAGAGTCTCACTTTGTTGCCCAGGCTAGAGTGAGTGCCATGGCATCGTGACTAGCTCACAGCAACCTCAATCTCCTGGGCTCAAGCGATCCTACCACTTCAGCCCCCCGAGTAGCTGGGACTACAGGCATGCACCACCATGCCTGGCTAATTTTTTTTGTATATATATATTTTAGTTGGTCAATTAATTTCTTTCTATTTTTAGTAGAGACAGGGTCTCGCTCTTGCTCAGGCTGGTTTCGAACTCCTGACCTTGAGCGATCTGCCCGCCTCCCAGAGTGCTAGGATTTAATATTAATATTAGTGAATATCAGTGAATAAAATCTATCCAAGAAATAATGCTGTTAGAACTCAGGAAAAATAAAGTTTAATGTTATAAAGGGCTTCTAGAAATACTACATGCATGGAATTGGTGGAATTTGATCTAAATCTTGGAAAAAACTTAATAGGTATAGATATTGTTTAATCACTCAATAAATGTTTCCTGAGCATTTATTATGTGCCGGCTACTGTTGAGGCTCTGAGAATGGTTCTCATTCAGTTTACATCCTACTTAGGGAGAAAGGCCCAATAACCAAGCGCTCACGGGAGAGGATGCCACAGGAGGAAGTGGAGGTGGGAAGGGCATTGTAGCAGGAGTGAAAGAATGTGTTCCAGGAGTGCATTGAGACTTGGGGGGATGTAATGGCAGTTTAGGGGTATGGGGCTAGCACATGGGAACTTCAGTTGGCTTAGTAAGAGATTTACCTCAGTGAGAGAAGGGTTTTTTCAAAACAATAGGTTTTTTGGAAAGCTCTTTAGTAACATGGCTGAACCTGAGTTTTTGGATAGGTGCTGTGGGGAATGTAAATAAATAATAGCTAATATTTAGAGTGCCCACTATGTGGGCATAGATGGTTTTAAGTATTTTGCAACAACTCTCCATGATGGGTACTACTGTTATTTCTATTTTACTGTGTAGGAAACTCAGACGTCGGTTAATTTGCTCAAGATCACACAGCTGAGAATACTGGAACATGCTCCAGAGCCCTTCTTAACTACTAGTTTATATGCCACTCGATTATGCCGACTCCTACTTATAATCTGGTTAAGGAGTTAAGATTAGCACACTCAACGGAGTCAGAAAACAGTTGCACAGCCTGTAATAAAGCATTGAATTTTGTGGGCAAACTTTACATAAGTTTTTTCCTTAACTGGTCTTGAGAGAAAAATTAAATCATGTTCTATTTATTCCATTTTCATCTTTTTATGACATAAAAAAACATAATAGTGATGACAGAAAAAAATCACCCCCTGTTTCACTGTTATTGGAAAAAATGTAATACTTTCCACTCTTAATTTAAAACCCAGGCAATTGGAATTTATTATGGGAATATATTTTCTTTCCCTCCACCTCCGGCCTATCTGCAGATGACCTCCATTCCCAGGGCTTACTAGCTCTCAGTATTCCAGCCAGGTAGGCCCTGGTCATTCAAAAAGCAATTTGGTTTGTGAGTTGTTGAAACAAAGAACAGGAAAAGCAATTCTCTGCAGAGAGAATTTGATTTATTTTTCTAAAAATGCAACTAACCCATCCACTCTTACCCTTTCAGATGCCTCCCTGGGTATAAAGAAATTTCTTTTTGCCTCCTCTTTCACATCATTGTATTCCTGATTAAGTTGACCAGGGTAATTAAAAAACAAAAAAATTCTGGGCAGTTGCTCAAGGTAGGCAGGAGGAGAGCCTGTTGAGCCACATGGGGCACCTTTCCAGGCTGGTCTTTCCAGTCCTTTCTTCCTTCTTCCATGGAGCTTTTGAATCTGAGAAAGGTGGGCACCGTGAGCTAGAGCCTCACCTATCAGGAGGGTAGTCAGCATGGGCACTGAGAATGTGTGCTGAGCTGAGTTGTTGCGAGGTTTATTTTCCCTTGGGTATGTTGCTGCTGATTCTGGGCTTCTGTTTAATGGGTGACTTTGTGGCCTGAGGAGGAGGGTCCAGTACCCTTTTATTATCTCCTGACTCATGACCACTTGCCACATCTGCTACATGAGAGAGGTTAGCCTCATTCTCCCTCCCACTGAATCCTGGATTGCATATGTCAGGCAAGATACCTCTCCTTAACCCTCTCCTGCTCTGCGTTAACCTTGAAAGACTGGGCGTGGGGTGGGGTACTGAATAACCCTTTCTTTACTTAAAATGTTGGGGTGAGTTGTGTTTAAAAAAAGTCACAGGTGAGCCCCTAATCTCACCTAAAATGAGCACAATGGGAAATGCTCCAGCTAGGCAGATAAACTCTAGCCCTTCTTCTTCTTCTTCTTCTTTTTTTTTTTTTTTTTGAGACAGAGTTTCACTTTCTTGCCTGGGCTAGAGTGCAGTGACGTCAGCCTAGCTCAGCAGCAACCTCAAACTCTTGGGTTCCAGTGATCCTTCTGCCTCAGCCTCCCAAGTAGCTGGGACTACAGGCATGCGCCACCGTGCCAGGCTAATTTTTTCTATATATTTTTAGCTGTCCAAGTGATTTCTTTCTATTTTTAGTAGAGATGGGGTCTCTCTTTTGCTCAGGCTGGTGCCTTCTTTCTGTAACTTACAAATTATGTGGTTTTGCAAATTGGGCAACTTCTGCAATAGGCAAGTAGTGTGCATTTGCAGAGCAAAATGTGGTTGGCGTTTTAGAGATGACTCAGGTGTGCACTGGAACATGCTGTGTGGAAATTTCTGGTAAGAGGAAATCTTATGGAAAATTTAGAGGTGACTATGAGGACCCCTGGTAATTATGATAGGAACTTTTAGCTTTATAAAGCACATGTGTTTCTGGGATAATTTCCATGTACTCAAGTTTCTTTTGAATAAATGTGGGTCATTTAATTCAAGCATTTCTTGAACCACTTCATGGACTTTGTACTACACAGAGCAGGTCTATGTATTTGCATTATTTTTGTATTCATACTTAGCTAGTTTTCTCTAGTGCTCACCCTGTGCAAGGCACCTTACGTATTTAAGCACTTTACATATTAAAATAATTATCATATCTAAGCACTTTAAAATTCTTTTAATCTTCACAATGTCTTTTATAGGTTAGATGTTTATAGATGACAAAACTGAGTTATAGACAGGCCAAGATACTTATAGTAAGTAGTCTCCAAGGGGGTCCCAATGATCCCTCCTCCTGGTGTCACCCCCCCTCAGTGGAACCCACCTCCCTTTGAGTGAGGGCTTATTTTACTTTAAATGAGTAGAATATGGTCAAAGGGACAGAATGTCACTTCTGAGATTAGGTTACAAAAAGACTATGACTTCTGTCTTCTGAGTCACTCACTGTCTTAGCTTAAGCTGCTATAACAGAAATATCATAATGTGTGGCTTAAACAATAAACATTTATTTCTCACAGTTGTGGAGGCTGGGGAGTTCAAGATCAAGGTGCCACAGTGTCTAGTGAGAGCCTTCTCACTGAGGCAGAGATAGGTAGCAAGCTCTCTCGGGACACTCATAAGGACACTAATGCCATTCACAAGGGCTCCACCCTCATGACCTCACCTAATTCTAATTACCTTCCAAAGACCCCACCTGCTAGTACCATCACATCAGGGAGCAGAGTTTCAACGTGTGAATTTTGGGGGTAAACAAGTGTTCAGTCTGTAACACTCTCTGAGCCCTCCCTGTGGATGAAGCTAGCTACCACGTTGGGAGTAACCCTAGAAAAGGCCCAAAGGGCAAGGAACTGATGTTTCTGGCTAACAGTCAGTGAGGACCTGGGCCTGCCAACAGTGAGTGAATTTGGAAGCAGCTTCTCTCCAGCTGAGCCTTGTGATGATTGCAGCCCTGGCTAATGATTGCAATTATGAGACCCTTAGCCAGAGGATTCAGCTGAGCTGACACACAGAAACTGTGTGTGTGTGTGTGTGTGTGTATGTGTGTGTGTGTTGGAGTTGGGGGGTCTCACTTTGTTGTCCAGGCCGGAGTACAGTGGCTATTCACAGACA